CTAATTCCTAATTAGGTTGCATAACCCAAATAAGAATTTTAAAATTTAATGAAAGTACTGTAGTGCCCTTTTATTAAAACTAACAGAAAAGGTAGAGCAAGGGAGAGATCATCGATTGAATCTAAAGACGCAACGCAGCCTTGAGTAGCCACTATAGCCATCGTCTGAATTTGCAAATCACAACGCAGCTTTGAGGAGTCGCCATCGTTGCTGCCATTAGAAATTAGAAGACGTGAGAGGGTAAGACTTCAGCATGATTAGGAAGACTTAAAACTCAGAAGACGTGAGGAGTCGCCGTTGTTGTTGCCATTATAGGGAGGAGCTTTAAAACTCAAATGGCCACTTCAGCATGAAAATTTTAGCAGAGATGGTAAGACTTCAAAACTCAATGTCTGAATTATTTGATATTTCTCTCTATCTCTCAGATCTTACTAAAGGAGAAAAGTAAAGAGAAAATTCAAAATTTCAAACACTTGTCAAAAATTTGAGATTCAGACTCTTAGCTTCAAGTTTCCCTTTTGTTTTACCTCCAACCTTTAATTTTTTTTCACTCTTGCTCTCTCAACAACACCAGCGACTATAACATATTAAAAATATACAATAGAATGACCTATAAAAGCTTTACTGTAATTTTGCATATGTTCTGTCCTCCCCCATATTCATAAAGATGGATATTTATCTCCGTCTGTTGCAGATAAATGTTAAAAGTCTTAGAAATATAGAAGAGCTATTTATGTTCAGTTCTTCACTCCTTCCTTCCTTGTATTACCTTTGGTAATAGTAAAAGAAAATAGGAGAAAATAGGAATTGAGTGCATAGGGGATTAATTGAAGAGGACTTGATTTTCTTTATAAGCTAATGACATGTAAAGCAAATGGTATCAATTGGGTTTTGATCGTGTTATTGGAAGGAAAATTGCCTAGGCGAGCATGCATTATATGGTTAGATATTGCCTGTTTGAATTTTAAATATGTTCTTTTCTTCTTTTAAAATAAAGAACTACGTCTTTTTTCTTTTGCTTTTTCTTTTTTGAGGTATCACAATCCAGACATGGATGAATGATCTTTAAGCTGATATTGGGATTTATGTTAGCTGATATTGCAATATCGAATTACATGAGAGTATGTAAATAAACATAAGTCCAGATTGGTCCATTCTTATGATAAGCGTCTTGTCATTATACTTCACATATATTTGCAGTATGCGTTCTCATGTTTATCGTGAAATATTTTGCTTAAACAAAGTAATGGTAAACATGCCACAATCTCTTGGGAATTAGTACTCATAGATTTTATCCTATATTCAAAATGTATCATTCATCTAAATAGATTTTGAAGAAACCAAAAAACTAGCTACTAGAATGTTCTCCAGTTTCGAATATATATCCAGTTCATTCTTTATTCAAGTTGCGATGTTAATGATAGTCGTAATAGTTCTTAAATTTTTGTTTGATTAGATAGCATTAGTAGTTCTTAAATTTTTGGTTTTGGTAGGAGAAGAAACATGGTGAATGAAGAAGGTTCATCGAAACTCATACACGGAAAGACTGGGTTGGCATTATTTAGGAAAGACTTTTATGATAAAGCTGAAAAGAAGTATAAGAGATTGAGGGAAGGACATAACGATGTGTTAAAGGCATGGAAGGGAATGCACAATGAGTAAAAAGGAAAATATGTTTAGAAGGGAAAGCAATTAAGGCCTGAAAAGATCAGAAGGAATTGTAAGTTAGCTTTTCAAATGCGTACCTCTCTCCGACAATTCAAGGATCTAGCTGAATTTGTAAAGGCGAACAATGATTTAAGGGAGAGGGTGGGAAAAATTGGATTTGGAAGGTTGCTTGATGTGTCGTATGATAGACTCCCCCATGATATTTGTGTAAGTTTGATAAGAGCATATGATCCACCAACATATCAATTTCATATTCGGGGGAAGAAAGAAGAAATGGGACAGTAACATGTGCACATTTTGTTTGGCCTACCCCATAGCGGGGCAAAGGTGAATACGAAAGTAGGTGATGATGACCTAACATATAAGGAGGTCAAGGGGCAATATTTTAAAATGCCATATAACAAAATATTGGCCATGATCAAATCTGGTGAATAATAAGAAGTTTGAATTTTTGTTTGTGCTATACACTCTTGGGACTCTTTTACGTCCCACTACGAGTGCAAGAATTAGTGAACGGTTGTTGAGGGTTGTGTGGTGCACAAATAATGCATTTCAGCAGTATGATTGGGCAACCTATGTGATGAATGAGCTATGTAAGGAAATAGAAGATTATGTTAAAGTGATGAGGAAGAAGAAGGATGGCCAGTTCAACGTGGGTGGGTGCCTCTATTTCTTATTAGTATGTATTTTTCTTTTGACCAATTATTGGTATATATATCCAATTATGCTATTTTCTACTATTTTTTGTCTATAAGATACTGTTTAAAGTTGTATGATTGATGATGCAGATCTATTTTTTGGAGTATTTCCCACTGCTTAAAGCTGATGACCATGAGTCTAGGGATGCAGTTACGTTTTGGACTAATGATAGGGCATGGAATATGTGTAAGAAAGAGAGTATAAGCTGCATGGGCATTTTGTATGAAGGAAGTGGTGTTGAAATGAGGACTAGGAAAGAGGACAAAGCAACAATTGCCTATCTAGACTCGATATAGAAATAATTATTATAATTATTGTGTTAGTTCTTGTTACGTCTAATACTTTGAATTGTTTTGTGTAGGAGTTAAAGGAGTTACACTCAACTTTGATGAATGCGATTGAAGAAAACCATAGAAGGCTCATTCGTGTAGTTGAGGAGAAACTCATGAAGGTACAACTAAAGAGGGAGAGACACCAAAAATCATAGCAAAGGGTGCATGGACATGAAGAAAATGATAAAGATAAAGATGTACGATATGGAGATGATGAAAATATTCATGTGGAAGATGAGTTTATTGGAGATGAAGGGGATGAATCAAGTACAAATTCTAAAGCTAAAAATGAGGAAGAAGAAGAAGCATCATACCAGGAAAATATCAATGTGGAAGATGTGTTTAGTGGAGATGGAGGGGATAGATCAAGTACAGAATCTCAAAATGAAGAAGAAGACAAATTAAGCACAGAGATCAACGCTGCAGATCAATGAGGACTAAAAGGCCAACAATTAAGTCCCCTTGGGTTTTGTCAAAGCCGATTAAGAGGACAAAAACAAAGATGGATGAGAAGGACACCTTTTCCATCTTGGTCTCTCATACATGCACGATTGAAGAGGGTAAAAAGATATTGGTAGAAATGTATGATGACAGCTTGACTCGTGACAACCTTAAATGTTTGGGTAGTATTCAAAAAGTAAATAATAGGATCAGTATCTTACTTGTGAAATGAACTTTTGATAATTGATATATCATCCCCATGAATATGAACATGTTTTTCATCGAACACAGGTGATGTCAATGGTGTGTAAAACATTAATGGGCAAAATGAAAACCAAGGGACAACTTAGGCGACACATATTTGAGACCTTATTCCATCACTTGTTTTAGTTTTTATCTTGTCATATTGTTTTGTTGTAGTTTTTTATATGCCACATAGTATATAAAAATTAACATGTTCTATTTCATAGTTAACAAGTTTAAGGTCTAAATTAACAACTTATGGTTACATAACACACCAACAATTAAGGTCTAAATTAACATATTCTATTTTACAGTTAACATGTTTCAATTCTAAATTAACAACTTTATGTCTTCATGACACACTCACAATAAGTCTTTTGCTAAAATTTGATCACAATAAAACCTTGACAAATAACAAGTTCGATTACGTTGTTAACAAGTTTAAGCTCTAAATTAACAATTTCCTTATCCTTGTAGCATACTTGCAGTGAGTATTGACAAAAAACCATATTACATTATATCGTTGAAAATTAACATGTTCTATTTCATAATTAACATATTTCAATTCTAAATTAACAACTTCATGTTTTCATGACACACTCGCAATAAGTTTTTCACCAAAACTTGATCACAATACAACCTTGACAAATAACAAGTTCAACTACGTAGTTAAAAATTTTCCTATCTCTGTAGCACACTTGTAGTAAGTATTGACAAAAACCATATCACACTGCATCCTTGAAAATTAACATGTTCTATTTCACAATTACCATGTTTCAATTTTAAATTAACAACTTTATGTCTTCATGATACATTTGTAATAAGTCTTGAGCTAAAACTTGATCACAATAAAATCTTGACAAATAACAAGTTCAATTACATAGTTAACAAGTTTAAGTTCTAAACTAACAACTTTCCTATTCCTATAGCATACTTGCAATATGTTTTTGACTAAAAAATTTCAACATGAGTTTAGATTTTTGCATGTCCTTCTTGTGTGACTAGCTTCATGGCATGTTCCACAGTAGTAAGTCTTCTTATTTTGGAATTGTGATTCACGTCGCTTAATTCTTGGCCGTCCAGGAGGTCGACTTGTGCGGGGTGGTTGGAGGAAGGTTTGGCCTAAAATATTTTCCATCCTATAGTCATTAATATTTGGCATGTCAATTGTCACAACTGGAATCATGCTTTGATTATAAATCTTTTGTTGAGATGTAATTTATAGCATTCCTCAACATAATCATACACATTTCCATGGGCAAGCTTGATGGCTGCACAAGCATGTGCGCATGGAATTCCTGACATTTGCCATGCTCCACAGTTGCATTTATGTAAACCTAGATCAACTTCTAAGTCTCCATAAGCTGTATGAACACATGCCCTATTCCCTCCATAAGATACAGGAAACATATGTTCAGTTCTCATCACATTTTCCATCAGTACAGGCTCAATGTTTGGCCCAACACCATTCCTCTACTTACTGATTGCCATGGCTGATGCATGCATCTTCTTTGCTACTTTTTCTCGATGTTCATGAATTAACTGTGCAACATTATGCCCTCTTTCCTTCACCATCCATGCATTGAATGACTCAGTAATAGTAGTTGTTATATTATCCTATCGTTTAAATGGAAATTGACTTAAAGCCCACCTATCAATATCACCATGATTCACAAGCCATTCAAATAACTCTTGAAACATATCCCTCATATGTCCTATTGTCTTATCAAACTCAGTTTCAAGTCTTGTATAAGCAATATCATCAAGCAACTTTAGTGCATAAACCTTACTCTTAGCACTTGTCCTTCCCCTTCCTCTATTTATTTTCATCCATTCTGAACTAAGGTTTTCCTTCACATGGCGATAGCAAAATGCATGTCTATCACTACCAAATATTACTTGTACAGCTCTTATTATGGCATTATGACGGTCTGAAACTATAGTCAGCTTAATTGACCCTGTTATCTGTCTAATCTTGGATAAAAACCATGTCCAATCCTCTAATGTCTCCCCATTCACAATAGCAATTGCAAATAGTAGTAACTCATTGTCTACATCATATGTGGAGGTTGACAACAAGGTGCCCTTATATGAGCCACTTAAATGAGTACCATCCATATATAATATATGTCTTGCCCCAACCAAGAACCCCTCAATACAACAACCATATGTTATAAAAACACGCTCAAATATGTAATTGTTTGAAGCTTCCCATTCAGCAACTGTTGTCGAATCACTTTCCTTCAGTCGTTGACATATCCATGGTATAAGCATATGAGATTGATCTGGTCTGCCTTGAATATCCTCCATTGCTTTTAATTTAGCAGCATATGCTTGTTTATATGTCAAATTTACTCTATATTCTCTCTGTAATGTCTTCATAATTTCACTAGGGCGCTTATCTATGTGTGATCTTACATCTTCAATAATAATAGATGATGTTAGAGCAGCTCTTCCCCCATGGTTTACTTGAAGACAATCTTGTGCATGGTGAACATGCTCATTATTGAATCGCATCACACGAAGGAAAGGGGTATTCTTCCCTACTGCATTTGCAGTTATCTTCCAAGGACATCCTTCAATTTTACATTTCACAGACATTCTTTCTTTGCTATTCCTCACAAACTTGTATTGAAACTTGTTAGCAATACTATATTTGTGTAGCAGCCGTTTGAAAGCATCAGTGTTTGGAAAGATTTGTGATAATCCTGAAAATATCTCTTTCCATTTCAATGAGTTCAACTCAGGAAAAGGTGTGAGTGCACTTTGTACTCCACATGGTGTGCTGCTAGGTCCCCCACAGCTTTCATAAGTAACACCATTTTGATGAGATGCAAGTTCAGGTTCATAATTGAAATTTCTTGGAGAAAAAGAGCTTTGTTCTGGCTGCCTCACGCTTGTATGCATGCTGCATTATATGACCATAATGTTTGTTATTTTATTAACAAGAATATTCTAACAAATAACATCTTATTTTTTTGAGAAAAACAACTAACTTACATTTGTGGATCACCACTTGCTTCTTCTACATTGCCATTCCTTTTACATGCTATATAGACATGGCTACTCCTCTCATTATATTGAAAAAGATTTGCAAGTTCCTCATCATCAACAAGATCTATTAGAGTCTTCTTATCAAAAGACACTGTGTATTTCATCTCACTATTATTAATGTCATTTCCAATCCATGAATATATCATTACTCTCATTTTTTCAAGTGTCATACCCTCTCTTATGTTTCTTACCCTAACACTCCCCCTATCATATTGAATTTCACCTTCAAGATTCTTGACAAATTGTCCACCAACATAAAAATAATAAAATAATCCTTTTGCTAATGTTAATCCTGAAGTAGTTGCCATTTTTTATGCCAACCTGCAATAAAAAAGGGACTACTAACTAGTCATAACTATGATCAATTTTTTCGATCAATAAAATAGAATATAAATTTTTTCAATCAACAAAATAGAATACAGCTTTTGAAATTAACAACTTTTACTTAGATCTTAACATGTTCCACTTAGCTATTAACACTAATGTGTCTCTCATAATCATGATAATTTCCACCTTTTACAATCAATATAACAGAACCTACCTTCAAAATTTGTCAAGTTCAACTTAGATTTTAACACATTTCACTTAGCTATTGACATGGCCCTTATAGTTATGATCATGATCACTTCTTACAATAACATAACATAACATAATCCACCTTTAAATTTTAACAACTTCAAATCATGTTTTAACACGTTATACTTAGCTATTAACAACATACACAACCCTCATAGCATTTTTCTATTAAACTTTTACGATCAAGCAAATATAATTAGTTATCATGCATATCTATTCATTGTAAACACTGCCTTCCTACTCATCTTAAAAGCAACACTCTGTACTCTCATTTAGCTATTTTCATGATGCACTTCTTATTGTACGGCAAATTTTCCTTCCTCCCTACAAAAACCCCATCACCCACAATCCATACTAAGAAAAGGAAGGACCAAGATAGCATGATGCAATTTTCAGGATTAAGATGAAAAGACTTAATATAAAAAACCAACTTACCTTTGCTTTCTTGTTTGATTTTTCGACTTTGGAATGATAGACGTCAAGTTCGCTCCTTCAGAACTCTTATGTTAGGCAGGAGTGATAAAAAATATCCATCTCTTTAGATTTATAATAAAAGGACATTACAGTAATTTTATTAAATTTTTAAATCCCTATTTGGGCTGTGCAACCTAATTAGGAATTAATGAAATTTAATAGCCCAAATGGGGATTTGAGTTATTAAATCGTCTTTTTAAGGGATTTTCCCTACCCTATAAGTGATTTATATTTAAAAACAAACTTTTCTCCTACAACAGAGTGGTAAACTCTAGAAAGAAATTTGGGCCTGTTTGTTGCTGTTTTTATTTTTTATTTTTTGTTTCCAAAAAAGTTTTATAAGATTGTTTATGGAAAAAAAATATGTTTAGATAATTGTTCGACAAAAGTATATTTGAAAATAAACATATTGAGATTAGATGATGAAACTTCAATGAGAACTCAGGTTGTTAAATGGAGAAAAAGACATTGAGTATAGAAGAAAGAATCTCACAATAACCCCAAATAAAAAATAAAAAATAGAAAAAACAAAAAAGCTAAAAATTATTTTAGTTTTTGAAAACGCTGCCTGCGGTGCTTAGTATTTTACTAATTAAAAATGACAGGCATGATGAAATAATAATTCGTAAAATGTGAAACCCCCCCGGGGAACCAGAGCTATATACCCATCCGTTGTTGTCGCCTTGGAAAAGAAAACAAAATGTCTAGGGATCGTTAGAGACATGTGATTCTAGGAAAAATTACACATAGTTCTCATAAAAGATAATTAATTCTAAACAGGTTTCTTACAATTTCCAAATCTTTCCTAAGTTCCTAGGGGTTTCAGAGCAAAAAATTAAAATTATGAAATTACATACTTGCCCTCACTGATTGAAAATGTTGTGGTTGGCTGCTGTATAGGTTGTGACTGTATGTTGTGCATGTTGTCATTCGGTTGAGTATGAGTTGTAATTGGCATCTGTGGATGTTGTGAATAGCTCAAAGGTAGGTTGTGATTAGCTACTGTGTACTTAATAAATGTACTAAATAAAAATTAGATAATAATGGCCATTGTTTAATTAGATGATAGAACACTCAAATTAAATTGATAAAAGTTTCTACATTTGCCGACCTATTAAAGAAGGTAATTGAAAATATATATATATATATATATATTGTACATTTTCTCTCATCTATTTTCTTTGTTGTATTTATAGGGATAAAATTAGAAAAAAATTATTAATTACCCTATAAGTGATTTATATTTAAAAACGAAATTTTCTCCTGCAACAGTGCGGTAACCTCTAGAAAAAAATTTGGGCCTGTTTGTTGCTGTTTTTATTTTTTATTTTTTGTTTCCAAAAAAGTTTTATAAGATTGTTTATGAAAAAAAGTATGTTTAGATAATTGTTCTACACAAGTATATTTGAAAATAAACATATTGAGATTAGATGATGAAACTTCAATGAGAACTCAGGTTGTTAAATGGAGAAAAAGACATTGAGTATAGAAGAAAGAATTTCACAATAACCCCAAATAAAAATAATAAAAAATAGAAAAAACAAAAAAAATAAAAATTATTTTAGTTTTTGAAAATACTGCCTGCGGTGCTTTGTATTTTACTAATAAAAAAATGAGAGGCATGATGAAATAATAATTTGTAAAATGTGCACCCCCTGCCGCCCCCCGGGGGGAGCAACTAGAGCTATACACCCATCCGTTGTTGTCCCCTTGGAGAATAAAACAAAATGTCTAGGGGAAACATTGGAATTTGTTAGAGACGTGAATGTAGCCAATTTTAGTAGGAAAAATTACACACAGTTCTCACAAAAGATAATTAATTCTAAAAAAGTTTTTTAAAATCTCCACATCTTTTCTAAGTTCCCAGGGACTTTAGAGCAAAAAATTAAAATTATGAAATTACCTATTTGCCCTCACTAATTGAAAAGGTTGTGATTGATTGCTGTATAGGTTGTGACTATATGTTGTGCATGTTGTCATTTGGTTGAGCATGGGTTGTGATTGGCGTTTGCGCGTGTTGTGAATAGCTCAAATGTTGGTTGTGATTAGCTACTATGTAGGTTGTGACTGTAGCTGTGCATGTTGTCATTCGGTGAGGGCAAGTAGGTAATTTCATAATTTTAATTTTTTGCTCTGAGGTCCCCGGGGACTTAGGAAGTATTTGGAAATTTTGAGAGATTTTTTTAGAATTAATTATCTTCTATAGGACCTGTGTGTCATTTTTTCTTTTTAGTATTACACTACAATATATAATTATATATCTATTTTAAACAAACTGACTAAGTGAGACAAATATTGTAATTATAAATTACTAAATTATAATTAACATATATTAAATATATTGGTTTACCCATGAAGTTGTCACTTTTGCTGCAGGTTGTCAAATTGTCCAACGTTGTGGGTACCAGATCAAAAAACATGTTTTAAAAAATATTCTTTTAAATCAAAATTTATATTCAAATCAATTTTATTTATTAATTTTTCCTTATTCACATTAAACCTCTAATTTTGGCTAAAGTTATTTTTGAATAATATAAGAGTTTCCTGTTTTTTCCTTAATTTTATTTTTTATTTTTTAATATTTATTTGTTTAATTTTTTTTGTCATATTGGGATAGTAGTCTAAGTAATTTAGATAACATAGGCATGAAAAATTCTTAATTAATTCAATAAATAAATTATTGACTAAAAGTCTTTAATAAGTGTTTGCAGCTAAAAATGTGTTTAAAATTTTTGAATTATACATTTAAATAATTTATCTTATCTCTAAAGCTTGCATCATTTATATTATATCATAAAAAATATGGGTTTGAAATATGTAGTCGTAGCCATTCAAATAAACTTAAAATTAAGTTTCAATAAATGCGATCTCAAAAATATATATAAATTTTATAATATAACCAAATTATTACACTACAAAAAACATGGTTTTAGCGATGGATGAGCGACGGAATTAGCAACGGAATTTGTTCCATCGCTAATTCCTTTGTCACTAATTGATTAGCCACGGAATTGAAATTCCGTCGCTAATTAGCGACGGATTAGCGATAGATTTTCCGTCGCTAATTACCGACGAAATTTTTCTGTCACTAATTACCGACAGAATTTTTCCGCCGCTAATCCGTTGCTAACTCGATTTTCTTAAAAATAAAATAAAATGCCACGTGGCACTCTACCAATTGCCATGTCATCACTGGGGACCACCTCCACGTGTCGCTGCCACCTCACATCTACGCCACGTGTGCTGCCACCTCACCTCTGCCTGCCACGTGTGCGCCACATGTCACCACCACAGAATTCCTTTCTCAAAGTGACTTCTCCATGGCTTGAACCCAGGACCTCCTCTATGCGCACGTGCGGCTTTACCAATTGAGCTGCAATGAACCTGTTGATTTATTATGTAAAATTAAATATATATATATATATTATATTTTTTACACAAACAATTATATATACATATATATTATTAAAAACTAAAATATACTATATGATAATTTTAATCATAACTATTTTAATGAAAAAATAATTTTTAAATATTTGTTTTACTATTTTTATAATTTTTTATTTTTTTAAAAATATTTTTAATATAATTTTAATTTCTAACGACACTAATTTTGAATTTTACATCATAAATAATTTTTAAATTTATTTTTTAATTAACATTGATAAGATATACAATTTAATTATATATATATATATATTATATTACATTATATTATATTATGTATATGTGGTTTACATATTTGAAGAAAATCATTTACAATTAGTCAAAAAATCTTGTTATTCAAAAAATAACTACTATAATAAAATCTAATAAATTATTCTATATAAAAAATTAAATGATTTAAATAGATTATGATAAACAGTATTTTCTTACTTGTATATATATCCTATGTAATTTATTTTCTTAAAATTTGCAACAGAAACAAATTCCGTCGCTAATTTCTGACGGAATTGTGACGGAATTTCCATCGCTAATTTTTTTGATGGATTAGCGATGAAATTAGCGAGGGAATTGTCTAACAGAAAAAGATTCTGTCGCTAATTTCGTCGCTAAATATGGATTAGCGATGGAATTTAGTGACGGACAGAAATTCCGTTGCTAATCTGTGAAAAAAATTAGCGACAGAATTTCCATTGCAAATTCCGTCGCTAATTTGCGACGGAATTTGTTTCCGTTGCAAATTCCGTCACTAATCAGCTGTTTTTTTGTTGTGTTAAATTTTACAACATATGATATTATAAAGTTTGAAATTACATGTATTTGATTTTTTTTGGGTAAATATAAATGTTTAAATCATTCTTATCTTAAATAGATGTATTTTGGACAAAACAAGAGTTTGAGAGTCAAACTTAATAGTCAGCTAATATACAAATAAAATCTCGGAGGTTTATATGATATACATTTTAATTTTAAGTAAGGTTTATATACCTTTTCAAAATAAAATGGAGGCTTATGTAATTTAGATAAAATAGAGGAGTTTTAATATATTTTACTCATTTTATTAATTATCATAGCCATGAATTTATATGAGTTATGATTTCATTCAGCTGAAATATTTTTCTAGCTACACCCATGACATAATATATTTTAAGATACTAAATGCACTTAAAAAAAACACTTAAAGTGCAGAATGAATCACTAAAAAGTTTAAAATGCTGGACTATAATTTGTTTGTTTAAATAATATATTATACTATATCGATTGAAAACCACGTTTTTAATCAGGAAAGATGAACAGGACCTAACCACTTATGGGTTGTCTGGATTCTAACAAAAGCACTTTTAGAAAATACATTTATGTAAATCAAGATAAAATTTATATCATATATTTATTTCGTATACCATAAAATCACTTTTAAAATTATTTATTTTCACCATAATACTCCATTATATCAAAACACAAGGTTGAAGTGCGTCACCGTCACTGACCAACTTATCTTCTGTTTTTCTATCCACAGAACTTGTTTCAGAGTACCCAACAAAAAAAAGATTCAAAATAAAATAGTTTTATTTTATATATGTGTGAGAAAGAATCGGCGGGAGACTTATTGAAGAGAAAATAGTTTTGAAAAAATGGTTCTAGGTAATTTAAATATGCATCAAAAAAGACTATTGAAAACACTGGTAAAAATGATGGATTAGATAATACCAAGCCTTCTCAAAATGAGCAAAATAAGAACGAAGAGAACTATTATATTATTGTTGTTGATGTTTTTAGGTATGAATACACATAATATAATAGAAAATAATTTCAGTATCACATTGTTCAACTTGGCTACCTGAGTGCGACACTAGTAGGAGGATAATTCCTCCCTGGGACTCACACAGCAATGAAGCAGGGATCTTTCACTTGCTTTCCTTTTGCGCTTCTCTTAGCACATGTGGTATGAAACACATGGTATGATGTTACTCTTATATTATAAGAGCATATGTCATTTTGAATCTATCATTAACACCGTACAGACTTAAGTCCAGACATACTCAGTGTCTAAACCCAAATTCTTCAACTCTGCTCATTGCTATGACGTTGACATTGAAGAGTTTGTTATCTAGCTACAGGTATTATGAAAGTGGGATTCTAAACTTTGATCCAACTTTATCTATGTGGATCTCATCGTGACTTGTTATACTTTAGTCAAGGTGACATAAAGTTTGTGTTTCTTCCCTACCATATCAGCATTCTTTGCTGCCTTACTAGTGAACACAAATGTCTCATCTTTGCCCACTCCACTTGAGTATCAAAGGCGATGCCCGTGTGAGAGGGCCAGCCCTTTTTAACTTGTACGACATACTAGACATTGTATACTTTCAAACAAACACATAAAGTAATAACAGAAAAAATATAATTTCATTAATGAGGTTTACAAATTACACTTTACGCGTGCCAAGGGCTTGCACATGTTCTTCTAAAAGAATTTTTCGCCTATTGGCTTTTTCAGGGGATCTGCTACCATATATTTGGTTGAAATGTGTTATACAGTAACAACCTTTTGTGCTATATAATCTCTAACAAAATTATACTTGATATCAATGTGTTTAGTTTTATTGTGATACTTAGGATCTTTAGTGTAGGCTATGGCTGTAGTATTGTCACAGTATACTATTACCGGACTGATACTCTTGTTTCTAAATCCAAGGTTTTCTATAAATCTCTTGAGCCATAAAGCCTCTTGTACTACTGTGGTGCATGCCACAAACTCAACTTCCATTGAATGTAAGGCAATACACGTTTGCTTCTTGCTACTCCAACATATGGCGCCATTGTTGAGCAAGAAGGTATAACCTGAAGTTGACCTTCGTTCTTCTTCATCTTCGCCTACATCAGCATCAGAGTACCCAGCAAGGCACATGTTGTTTCCTTCGTAGCACAGTGCATAATTAGAAGTGCCCTTTAAGCATATCAAGATCCTCTTCACTGCTTTCTAATGCTTTTCACTGGGATTAGACTGGAATTTGCTTACCAGTCCCACTGCATAATAGACTTCTGGTTTTGTACACATCATTACGTACATCATACTACCAACAGTACTGGCATATAGAACTCTTTCCATCTTCTTTTTGTCAGACTCGGTTTTGGGACATATGTCAGAACTCAAAGCCACTCCAGTAGCAATAAGGGTACTCATGGGATTGCAGTCTTTCATGTTAAATCGCTCAAGAATCTTGTTGATGTAATTCTCTTGTGAAAGAGAGAAGATTCATTTTGAGTGATTTCTTTGGATCTTAGCTCCAAGTATATACTCTGCTTCACCCACATCTTTCATTTCAAAATTTGACAAAAGCCATTCTTTAATAGCCACCACTGAATCTAGACTATTTCCGGCCAATAGTATATCATCTACATATAAGGATAATATGACAAAATTACCCTCAAACCACTTAATGTAGACGCAGGGGTCTTCCTCTATCATTTGGAAGTCATATGAGGTTATTGCTTTGTGAAACTTCAAATACCACTGTCTGGATGATTGTTTCAATCCATATATAGACCTTTTGAGTTTACAAACTTTATTTTTCTTTTCTTTTTCAATGAAACCTAATGGTTGTTCCATATAGATTTCTTTATCCAGATCACCATTTAGGAATGCAGTTTTTACATCCATCTGATATAATTCTAGATCTAAACTATTTACTATTGCCAGAATAAGTCTAATAGAGTTGAAACATACAACAGGTGAGAATGTATCTTCATAATCTATGCCTTCTTGTTGTGTGTACCCCTTTGCCACTAATCAAGCCTCATATTTGTCAATTGATCCATCTATTTTTCTTTTAATCTTGAGAACCCACTTGTTCCCAATAGCTTTACTCCCTTTTGGAAGATCAACTAACACCCAAACTTGGTTCTTTTGCATTGAGTCCATTTCTTCTTCCATTGCTTTCATCCATTCCTCCTTGGCAGGACTTGACAAGGCTTCTCATCCAGAACGGGGCTCATCATCCCCTTCTGGAGTAACTAAGAAAGATTCACCTTCTATTTGAAAGCGTCTTTTGGGAACACCTTCCCTGTTACTCCTTCTGACAGGAGCTATTTGCTTATCTTTCTTTCTTTACTCAGGTCTAGGTGTTGACCTTTCTTGGCTTCCACTCAAATTGACATACCTAGATGATTCTGGTTTGTCAATTTGTTCTGCACTATCTTGTTCCTGTGTCTCATAAAGAGAAATAGTACGGTCAACATCTCCTCTATTGGGAAATTCAGTCTCAATGAATGTTACATCTCTTGATTCTATTTCAGTCACCGTTCCATCTTCGTTTTCACCTATGAAAACGTATCCCTTTGATTGTTCAGAGTATCTTATAAAGATACATTTCTTTCCTCTAGGACCTAACTTCCCATGCTTATGAGAAGCATCATGGATATACACCACGGACCCCCAGGGTCTCAAGATGCTTAGATCTGGCTTGCTTTTTGTCCATAACTCATAGGGTATGGAAGCGACTGATTTTGAGGGTACACGGTTAAGTATGAAGGTCGTCGTTAACAAAGCATTATCCCAATACGAAATTGGCAAGTTTGCTTGAACCATCACAGACCAAACCATATCTAGAAGAGTTCTGTTTCTTCTTTCAGCAACTCCATTTTGTTGTAGAGTGCCAGGGATGGTCAGTTGTCTAATTATCCTTTCTTTTCAAGAGCTATTTGAATTGTTCAATAAATATTCACGACCTCGATCAGTGCGTAATGCCTTAATTTTAAAAGACATAACACAGAAACCAAGTTTCGTCGGATGTCAGGGGCGTAAAGTACATCATGGAGTATTCAGTTCTTCCCACCACGCAAAGTAAATTTGCAGGTGCCCAAACCTTTAACCTCAATCCTTGCATTGTTCCTAACGTAAAGCCACTTGCTTTAATACAACAACTGACGGTACTCGATAAAGGATCCTTGATCCCTGGTTACATGGTCTGTGGAGCCTGAGTCTATAATCCAAGAAGAAGAAACAGGTTCTGTTAGAAAAACAATACTAGAAACATGTGAATTCACATAATTCACTAATACCTTTTTGCTCTTAGTTTGTTTTGAACAGTCACGTGCGAAATTGCCCATTCTCTGGTAGGCGAAGCATTTGACCTTCTTCAGGTTTAGCTTCTTCTTCCCACCTTTATTTCCCTTCTTCTTGAATTACTTCTTCTCTTTTTGGGTTGAGGACCACCCTTCTTCCCTTTCTTTTGGAACTTCTTGCCTTTCTTGGAATCGGGCCTTAATTAGAAAGTGCTAGCATCCTTAGTTTGTCTAGAAGTCTTGTAAGCCTCTAAACGTTCATCCTCTAGCTCCAAGTGCTTAGAGACATCGCTAAAAGTAATGATGTTTTCATTATGGGTCAAATTAACTTTCATATGCTCCCAGCTAGCAGGAAGCGATATGATAACAACCTGCACTTGCTGTTCATCAGATAGGACATGTCTAGCTTCTTTAAGTTCTCTGATCATGTTGGCCATCTCTCTCAGATGTTGCTTCATAGGATTGTTTGGCTTGAGTTTGTAGGTTTCGAACTTAATCGTTAACCTCCTAAGTTTACTGGTAGAAGTACCACCAAACTTGTCCTTCAACGCTATCCACATAGCTTGTGCAGTTTTGTGCCTCTCAAACTCGCACATTATGTCATCAGCCATGGCACTCAGAAGCGTGATTCTTGCTATGATGTTTTTCTTCTTCCAAACTTGGTAAGCCTTTTGGTCTCTCCTATGTTAGGCCATATTCCCAGCTTCAGGTTTGACCATTGCAGTGGTTAATGGTTCAACAACATCTTGTTCCTCCAAGATGTATTGGACCTTTCGGTGCCATATGTCCCAGTTATCCCCGTTAAGCTTTTTCCCTTTATTAAGCTCAGCAATTATGTTCTTGGTTGCCATTTTCAGTTCTGTGTCAAATTTATCCCACATTATTCTATGTTCTCTCTAAAAGGAGAGACGTACCATAGAACATTTTAGTTACATAGCATGGCAAAGTATACAACGTCCTATACTTATATCGTCCTTGATCAGAAAGTAATGACATTGCAAGATCCATGATCAAGAGCATACGTTTATACCTCCCGTCACACAGATACAGGCAATAATCATTATGTCCTATCAAGAATTTATATAAGCACTTCAAAAATGTGGCTCTTAGAAGTCTTATCTTTTGAAAGCTCCCACTTATAAAAAGCATACATATATTATTCACAAAATAATCATTCAACAATAATTTAAGTAATTTCATTAAATGAAATAACACATTTAGTCTGTTTACAATGCATGAAACCAAAAGCTTAATACAACAAACGTTAATAAAGAGAATACAAATGTTACATCATTTGATATGAACATAAAGGTAATCAAGTATTGCTTTCCTCAGTTTTCTAAGTTTGCGTGTTTTGGTCATAAAAGATGATACTAAATCTATAGCCCAAATCCAATAAAATTTCCTTATGTGTTTTCCTTTAGGTCCTCCTCTTACCCTTATTACTCTTATGTATTCCATTATGACTTTAAGATAGAATTCAGTATTCTTCTTATCGGTTACATACTAGATGTAACTGGCGAGCACGCCATTGATGCCTTTTATGTTTATCAGTTTGGCTGCATCTCTTTCAGCTATACTCATAGCTAAAGCAGGGGTACAGGGTTAATTCACCTCTTCTCCTTCCCCAACTACGGTTTCACTGGGAAGATCTAGTAAATCGTTAAAGACCAAGTAAGGTTCAGCATGGAGGGATTCAATGGGGAATAAAGATTCCGACTCAGGTCCAAAATACATTAACTCCTCTGGGTCTTCTTGAGGAACCTCTTCAAGGTCCTCATCAGGATTTTCATCCTCAGGTTCATATTTTGGAACTCCATTATTCATGTATGAGTATTCCAATGAACCATGCTTGATATTTTCAGTGCTACTAGAAGCCTCTTGCTTCATTTTCATCTAAAACAAAATAATATAAATTATTTTGAATATTCTGGAATTTTTATCTATATAAAAATACCAAAAGATGCACTGAAACACTCACAAATAGATCTTTAATTGCCTCAAAAATTAGCCAATTATATATCAAAATGAAGAGCTTAATTTTAGGGATTTTTAGAAACAAACCGCACCTCAAACAGAGCTCCCACGCGCCTACACGCACCCCTAGAAGAATAAATTCTGTGAAAAATAAAAAAAATTTCAGCCCATTTGCGCTATTGGCGCATGTACTACATGCTCGCCATGCAGCCAGCCATTGGCGACACGCGCCGTTCCGGTGGCCTCCACATGCCATCCCCTTTCAAATGGGGTGGCCCACGTGTCTGACAGGCGTGCCACGTGGCGGTACGTGCCATATGGCGGTTTTGGGAAATTTTTTTTCTTTAGGCTTGGACCGAAAAATAATTTTTTTTAAGTGGGCTCGCTAGACTCTGGCCCAACCTGAAAAAAGACTTTTTTTTTAGGCTTGAGCAATTTTTTTGGGGCCTAGTTTCTCTTTGTTTTTTTTTACTTTTTTTTTGGAGAAGGGCCAAAACGATGCTGTTTTGGCCTTAGAGGTTGTTTTCAACCTCCAACCGGGTCGTCCTGACCCAGTTTCTGCAAGCAGGTCCGGTCTGATGGACCTGTCAGACCTGAAAACTTCTCTCCTCTATATCTCCTCTGTCTGACGTCCAAATTTCGCGTATTTTATATCATTTTCTTCGTTTTTTCATCCTCTACACAATGGGATAGGTTTTGGTACCTAAAAACTCAATTTTAAGCAGACTCAATAATGGAAAATAAAAGAACCGAAAATGAATATGATGTAAAATGTGTTTCATGGAGGCAGAGAAATAATCTATCATATCTACTTATAAATATAAGTCAGAAAACAATCATACTGGAAGTAAAAAGGAGGATTTGCATAATTGATTGAAGCAAATCGCATAATCGGATGATTACTTAGAAAAAAACACAGCAATAAAAATAAAAAGAAAAACACAGGCTCTATTGATAGATAAGGCAATGGAAAATGGCAATGATGAGAGGCTGTGGCTCACCATGAATGACGGTGGGATTTGGAGGAGGAGATCTGTGTGCATGTATTTTCGGCTTGTTACTCTTTTTAGGTTTAACTGCATTGTGCCTTTGGTTAAGCCTGTGACCCAACGAACCCAAATGCTTTGTCGCAGCCTTCATTGTTCCTAAACTGAACAAGACCTCAAATACAACTACCAACTCTGCCATAATCTTCATGGTTGACTTTGATAATGGAAACAAGGAATATAGGGTTAAATATGACAATGTCAACTTCATCATCGATATATTTCTTGATCAAAATAGTACCAGTTCGATTGGGAGCTCCACCATTGCAGGCTTCTACCAGGGGCACAACAAGAATGCGAAGAAGTGGAGCTCTATTGAAGCACATGCCGGAGCACTTAACCGGACGGTGAAAATGGACGGGAAAGCATAGTTCTGGGTGAATTTTATGACATCGGTGAAGTACAAGATCATGTTCTTTTACACAGCACAACACAGATTATGGGGAGGGGCTAACGTTGTCATCGCTGGCTTGGAAGATGAGAAAGATGATATCAGACTCGGACACTCCCTCCTGATAATTATGTCCGGTGCAACCCAGCTGGTAGCTGGTTGCTATCTCATGCTTCTGGTTCTGGGTCTTTTTGTCCATTTTGTACCTTTAGGTTTTTTCTCTAGCATTGTTTTTTTCCTTCTTTGTAAGGAAAAAAAAACTATGATTCTGTTTTTGTTTCAGAGAAAGTAATCATGCTTGTTAGGATATTTGACGCAGGTTTGGATTTGGATTTTGGGTTGGTTTGCAAGATTTTCTTTCAAAATGTAATTATTGTGGGAGAAGGGCCTCTCCACTTTCCATCCTCTCTATTTTCTTTCACTTCCCATCTCAATCATTAAATTGTATTTTAAATGGTTCATGTTTTATACTCCTCTAGTCCTTAATATAAGATCCATTTAACTGATTTGATTAGATTAAGAAAGTTAGATAAGTTAGTTAATTATAAGAAATATGACATGTTTTTTTTCCCTGAAATTCCATAATCATCTTTCTTAATATCCTCCCTCCTTCACCTACTTTATTATGGTAAAGAGAGTATCTATAAGGGTAATTTAGGAAAAACTGACAAAAATGAGAAATATGTCTTATATTTAAGATCAAAACTAACTTAACAATTAGGTCTTATATTAATGACTGGAGGAGTATTTTATAAAATTATGAAAAAGAAAAATATTACGTTTAAATACCAATATTAACGATTAACATGAGAAGTGAATAGAAATAGAGGAAAAGAAAGAGTGGAGAGACCCTTTTCCCAATTATTGTTCGGGCCTCTCCAAATTATATTTATATATTTTAATTGTACTTGTTATATTTCTTCCCGATTTTTTTATGAAAAATAATGACTTTTTTTTTTTAGCAAAACAGATAAGTTTTATTAATACCATAAAAAAAGTACAAACACCAATAGCCACTCGAGGCCCAAAAGAGGAAAAACACTCAGAAATAAACCTAGAGATACAACCTAACACACCAACTTACCGAAAAAGAAACAAACAATAGAAACAAGCCAACTACAAACAAAACAAAAGAAAGCAACTAGCCTATACTAGTCCTGTCACCAACATCTGAAGCTGAACCAACATGAGCCATCTGTAAATCAAGGAGTAAGACAGCAACCAGAGAGGATGGTGGCTTAAAAAGCCATCCCACAAGTACCATACCCCTCATTGCCTCAGTTACGCACTGGTTACCCTTCCTATTCACTAAAGCCAACTCCCAATTGCAACTGTGAGACAAGTAATCCCAACACTTATGAAGGATGTTTGCACAATTCCATTCTCCTCCTACAAGATCCTTTCTGCTCATCAAACTATACAGCTCCTTATCTGTCTCAAAAACTACCTTCCTCCTGTCCTTCCTTGAGACAACTTCAAGAGCTAATAGAAGAGCCAAACTTTCTGCCATGAAGGGAGATGCAGCAGAAACTTTCTTCCCCAGACCTCCTACAAAACAATCAGAATCCTTTCTACATACAACACCTACTGCAGCAAGTTTTAAACTACTCTTAAAACCAGCATCAATATTAACTTTTACTACCCCTTCAGCTGGCTTTCTCCAAGATTTACTTATTTCAACCTTCATACTAGAAGACTCTCTCCTTGCCTTTCTTGTAGTAGCTTCTTCAAATTCTCTAACAAGCCTCATTGCAGCTGCCACACAGCTGCAAGCATCCATTTCATGCCCTTCAAAGACATAGTTACACCTGCCTTTCCAAATGCCCCAACATATACCAGCAAACAAAGCCATGTCCTATTCAATGATAGCATCTGAGTTAATTAGCCAGTTTTCCAGCCACTTGTCAATTTTGAAATTGCCAATTCTGTCAAATCTTAAAGCCAATGGGGGGTCATACCAACAACACTTTGTCCAAGGACAAAGAAACAGCAGATGCTCAATAGTCTCAATATCATACTTGTAAACAGGAGAAATAGGATCAGCAGCATATTTTCTATGAAAAAGAGCTTCCTTAGGGGCTACAGCACCACTGACAGCTCTCCAAATAAAACGAAGGACTTTAGGGGACATTTTAATATTCCAGATTCTACTCCATAAATTCTTTGAAGGGAAATAGGAATTACCAGGCTTATCTACATTCTTCACCATTTTCTTCTGTAAAGCAACCTTATAACCGATCTTAACAGCATAATCACCATTCCTATTCTTTAACCAGATCAATTTGTCCCTTATATCTATCAGAGGGATTCTGTCTTTTTTAATACAAGACTTGTCTTCTTCAGATAAAAAATTCCCTGCCCCTTCTAACCACCATTCACCATTCCTTATTATGTTACAAACTCTCAGGTTCTTCATTTCCTTATCTAAACTTCTATCATTCAAATTTAAATAAACCATCTCAGGAAGCCATTTATCTTAAAAAATCTTGATATTCTCCCCTCTTTCAACCTCTAACACAAGTCATTTACTAAAAGGTCTCGGGCCTCCAAAATGCTGGACCACTCCCATGAAGCCCTGCTTCCTTTTTTGGCCTGCAAGAAACTATTTTTAGGAAAATACAGACCTTTCATAATCCTTACCCAATGATCATCAGGATTCTGAATTAGTCTCCATGCAGATTTTGCCAACAGTGCAATATTGAAGGCTTCCAACTCATGAAAACCCATACCACCTTCTCCTTTTGCCTTACTTAACCAATCCCAAGATTTCCAATGCACCCTGCCCTCCTGGTTTTTCTATCCCCACCTACACCATGGCATCCAATTCAACACAAGTCTTCTTTGGAAATTTAAAATAGGGCATAAGGAAGACTAGGATTGCATTTGCCACTGCTTTGATCAAGACCTCCCTTCCCCCAATAGTGAGAAGTTTCTACTTCCACCCTTGAAGTTTCTGACTTATCTTGCATCTAACAAAAGATAAGGCTTCACACTTTGACCTTCCCCAAAGCATTGCCATGCCAAGGTACTTCCCCGAATTATCACTTGCCTCAATCCCCAGTACCTCATACACATCCCGTTTTTGGTCTGCGCTGGCATTTTTTGAGAAGAAAATACAGGATTTATCAAAATTGATAGATTGACTGGAAGCATCACAGTAGCAGTTCAGTATGCTCTTTAGCAACTCACAGTTCCTTTTATTTGCATTGATGAAAAATAACGCATCATTAGCAAAGAAACAATAAGATAATGTGGGGAAAGTTTTAGCTAGTTTGATGCCTTTTAGCTTTCCTCTATTGACAAACCACTGAGTCATCGAAGAGAGCACTTCTGTTGCCAAAATGAATAGGTAGGGAGACAAAGGATCTCCCTGTCTATTTCCTCTCTCCATGCTAAGATCTAAAACTTTTTTGCCTACAACCATTACACTTAGGTTTGCTGAAGAGACACATTCCATTGCCCATGCAATCCATTTCTCTCCATTACCCATGACTTTTTATTTGGAGTATTAAAAAAAAGATACTTCCCCGTCAATGTAGGAGCTGGAAAATGAATTATTTTAATCTTAAATATAATATTTCATTCATTTTTATCTTCAAAATATAAAAGTTTTTTCAAATATCCCTATTAAGTACACATAGCAGAAAACTCAACTAATTTCCTACAATAATTAATTTAACTAATGTTTTTTAATATCAACAATTTAGTTATCTAGCTTTTATATTAAAAATCAAAGATAAAATCTGAGATCAATTATTAAAAGCAAGCAACTAATTATTGAATTAGAGTATTTTGTTGAAATTTTTTTTATTTTTAACATATTTATTAATCCAATTAACTTAAGGTTTTTTTTTATCAGTAAGAATTAGTTATGTGTTTGTTTTTATAAACAAAAAGGAGTGAAGGATTATCTATTTAGAATTTTGAAATACTAAAAGCACTCAATAATACACTGAGTTATCTCAAGGCTTCGTTTGCTTTCGCTCATGCCTAGCCTGGGGACCCGGAGAGGGGGGGCTGTTTCCTCCGTTGAAACCGTTAGGTTGGCTGAGCTGAGGATCGCAATTTTCAATGCCCAAAATACCCTTTTGGAGAGGAAAAAGATAAGATAGAAATGAAAATTTCTTTTGGGTCTAATTTGTTACATACAATTGAATATCATAAATTCAATTTAGTCAAAATGCTCTCTCTCTTTGTAAACAAGATGCTTTTTACGCCTCCTTTTATGCTGCACAAAATAGAGGCGTAAATAGCCTTTTGCTGGTTCACTCACCACGCCTCACTTGTACTGGATTCATTTTTCTTGATATCCATACTTGAGAGAGCAAGTAATCCATATGAATTATGAGACTATTTGGGCTACGTCTAAAGATTGGGTCCAATAATTTGTCGGCGACCACCTGCCACTGCACACCCATATGGATCACCGATTGGATTAATTCGATGGCTACAAGAGAACTGAAAGAATATAGAAGAGGATGTGTGTATGTAATAATTTCTTATACACTTTAGTGGACAATATTTAAACAAAACATGAAACAAGGAAGAGAACTACATTTCCACGGCTACAAGGTGCAATTTCCATTATTCAAAGCCTGGTCCAAGAAAATGCTTCCCAAATCACAAGCACATTACCCAGTCATAACAAAACTCAAAATAAAGGTACAGGACACAACAATCAAAATCCAGCATTACACGAAGCTGTAAATTTACAGAACTACTTGGAGGATCGAAAATACGGTTTGAGCCAATGCGAGAACGAGGAGCAGAAATGCAGCAACAGTAGCAGCAATTTGCCAAGGTGTATGACAATAATCACGTCTCAGGTTTGCCTTCCACTGGTGCCAACGACTTTTACAATACCTATTCAAATCTTTGCAAGTCTTGAAATAGTGAGTACTGATGGTTGAATGGACGACATTGTCTGAAAGACCATTAAATAATGTGGCAACCTTTTTCGTATCACCTAAATAGTTCCTAACTACTTTCTTGCGAACGAGGAGATCCACATCCTTTTCTGTGTTTATTAGCCAATCCAACAAAAGAGCATAATCAGTAATGTAAGCATTTCTAGAATAATGACATTGTTCTAATGCTATCATGTTACGAAACAAAAGTTCAGTATTATCATCCACCACAACATGGGGAATTTCAAGAATTTCTCCTGAAAATTTCACGTCCAATAAGCATTCGCTCTCACAATCCTTCAACGTTACGCCTGCTTCTTCCAGTGCATTCGCATTGTATAAAAGAATATGGCTTCCATCCTTTGGGACTCGCATCCATTCATCCTCACCCTCTGGGCTTGGCTTCCTTTCAGGCGTCTTTCTTTTCTTGTAAAACAATCTAAGGAGATCCGTAAAATGCTTTATACCAACAGTAGAATGAGGGTCTAATTCTTGTCCATTGTGATACCCAAAATAGTTATGAGTGAGCTGAAGAAATGAAGGGAGGCTACCACGACGATCACGGGGGAAAGCTTCATTGAACAGCTTTTCAATAACAAAGAATGGAAGTTGATTCTCAAGTAAAAGTAGATCTAGAAGTATAGAATCCGCTAACCATGGCTGTGACAATTTAGCATCGTTGCGTACCTCACCCAAATGGGACATGATGAAGAGTTCAATGATGAAGACAGCATCCATTAAAGTCAGTTCCACAAGTTCTTCTTCAGTAATGGTTTCTGAATAAGAAGCACGGACTTGTGGCTCTAACTTTTGTACAAATTCAACCAATTCGCAACAACTTGAGTTGGTTCTTTGAATAAATCTTTTGAACAATATATGTTTTTGCCTTTTCATGTCTTGCAGCCCCTCATTGCGATAATGAAAGGGGCCAATGGAAACAACTTTTGGAGTGTAAGCATCTTTTTTAAGATCACGGAGCTTAATAGGCACCCTGTAGATACAACAGTGTGGTGACAGATGACCATCTCCACAATCTTGAATAAGTTTTTCGATGTCTTCAGTTATCACCAGTCGTGAAGCACTCATTTGTGGAGTACTAGTGTCAATCTAAACAAAATAAGGAAGAAAGAGTGTAATAATTGAGGAATGAAACAGAAGCAACCTTAAAAATAGTAAGCAAAAAGAATTGAAGAGAGGTAAAGGATGCATATACCGGTTGTGAAGCACCACTCATTATTGGTGCAGCAGTCGTCGATGTCCACATGAGATGTCGATCAATCTTTTCAGGGATGATAATCTAAACAAAATAAGGCAAAAAGAGTGTAATAATTGAGGAATGAAACAGAAACAACCATAAAAGTAAGGAAAAAGAAACTGAAGACTGGTGGAGGAAGCATACGCTTTGTTGAGCACTCTCAGAACAGACCGTAGAGTCCATTTCACTCACGACAATAGATATCGCCGAGTGAATGTCAGAATCTTGGGCAGTCATTTGTCGAGCACAAGTGCGAATCTAAACAAAATAAGGCTAAAAGAGTGTAATAATCGAGGAATGAAACAGAAGCAACCTTAAAAACAGTAAGCAAAAAGAAATTGAACAGAATGCATACGGTTTGTGGAGGACTCCCGAAGACCTCCGAGTCTTTTGTTTCAGAATCTGTTACTTCTGCCATCTAAACTTATTAGTCAAGAAAAGACAGGAGAATGAAAGTAGATCTGCTATGCTCTGTGTTGAGCATAGATATATAGATGGGACGCGCGGCGCTGTGTCTCAGCAATCGGCTCTCATAATTACTTGGCTTCACTCTAACAATTATTTTCCCCCCTAATTGATTGGGCAGCTGCATTGATGAATGATTTCTCCCTCCAAACCTTGCTAATTTGTCTTTACTGCGAGCCCTTTTATTAGTTCCATTCCCAAAGGTAAGACAGTTGTTGCAGTGTTTTGATTGTTAAAAATATATGCCGCTATCTAAATCATTAAATGTTTTCTTTTTAAATGCTTCCCAAACTTCCCAACATAAATGAGTTAATATGCCAATATGCCCTGAAAGTTTTCGCATAGGAGTATTGGGTATCTGAAATTTTTTTTTTTTTGGGACTCAATGTTGTCTAAAAGCTTCCAAATCATAGCAATGTCGCCTTGATCGTTTTCTGGGTTAAGTTTTCACTATTAATTGACCAAACATAATGAGTTGGTAAGTCTACGTTTCATCCACATTATTTTCTTTCCTGAGTTAAGGTGCAACTTTGCCTCATAAATTTTTACTCAGGAGCACTGACCTCCGAGTATCTAAAAGTTTCCAAATTATAGCAATGTTGCCCAGCTGTCATCCATGTTAAATTGCTTGACTTGAACATTATGCAAGATATTGCTTAAAATATTGTAACTTGTAAGGGATTGAAGATCAATACCTCTGACGTAAAAACATTGGGAATATTGAATAAGACCCATACATTAGGTTATAATCCGTTATCATCCTCTCCGTTCTGATCTGTAGTTTACTAATTTTTGCTAAACTTGATTGAAGAAACCGTTGTTGTAAAGAAGAAACAATAGGATTTTCCCAGAGAGGAGGATGAAGTGAATTTCGCAGTCTAAAAGGGATAGAATTTTTGTTCAGTGTAACGAAGAGAAGGCTTCAATGAATGAATCAGTGTTTATCAGTTTTCTTAGAGCAAATTCTATCACTGCACATGCAAAACACTACCTATAAAAATATTGGTCAGAATATAATTTATACAACTCTTGCATTATTTACATCCTTTTATTATTAAATGTCAACTTCATATCCATTTTCTAACCAAGAAAAATTTCTTATCAATTCCTGATGAATACAATTAAAGAGGGCGGTAAATTCAATAGAAGTACTTGAACTAACGTCTTTATTTGTCATTAAATTGAAAATTTTAAAATTATTAATTTGTCTTTATAATCTAATTATCTACACTCTCTTTTCCTCCCCCTCTCCACTTTGAAGAACTTGGACTAATTCAGAATGCTATTGTTTAAATAAATAATTTAGAAAATATTGTATTAAAACGTATAAAGTTTATAGAAAAATAAACATGCACATATATTTTTTTCTATACAATAAACATGCATATATTATAATAATTAATTTATCCTTCGCCACAATAAAGTTCTATTTGATTAATTTTTTTTGAACGTATGCGTTTAAAATATTATTTTACTCAACTCGCGCATTTAAATTTGTAAAAAATTTAAAATATGAGTAAAACTAAATTACTTCCAAATTCTACATACTCTCCTCTACTCAATGACTATTTCTCTATTTAAAACTTGAAGTTATCATCGAAGTTTCACCCTCCAATCTCAATATGTTTATTCTCAAAATTAATTGTTTAGAACAATTATCCAAACAATCATTGTGTTGGTATCCCTGATTATTATGAATAATAATGTATTACTACAAATTTTATATTAGATATCTACAGGTTGATTTGAAAAGTTAAATGCACCCAATGTTTGATCTACAAATTAAATCCTACCTCGGTCACGTAATATAAGAATTGGATTAATAATTTATGAATATTCAAAAAAAATTAATTAAATTTATTATTTGTAATAAATGAGTATTGTCTTCCATCAAATACTTTTGTTAATCATAAGCATTAAAATGAAAACTTCTTAACATATACAATTACCATAAGGACTACTTAAAAAAATAAATAAATATGAACAAGTAAAATAAAATAAAGGAAAAAAGACAATAAGATACCCTCAAAAATGCTAAAGGACAAATTTAGAGTGGGTGAATTTTAAAATTTCAAATTTGACCCCTTGTACTATTTTAGATTTTAAAATATTATGAAATAACAATATTGTCTTTATTCTTGATGACTACTTTCATATAGCTATTGACTATTCTAGTTTAACTACTGATTAGTTTTGTTTTTAAAGTTCTGGGAAATACTTTTATATAGCCATTGACTACGCAAGAATAGTAAATAATTAAACAAAAAGCAGTCATTAGATCTCCAGTAACACTTAATGCAATTTCTGGATTTTTGAAATAAAAGTAGGCAATAGCAAAACTAAAATAGTCAATAGCTAAACAAGAGTAGTCTCCAAAATTTTAAAAATAAAAATAGTCAATCACAATAGTAGAGTAGTGAGTAGCTAAACAAGAGTAGTCATTGAAGTTCTAAAAACAAATATAGTTAATAACTAAAAAAGAATAGTCAATACATAAAAAAGAATAATAACTAAAGTTTCGACTATAGGTCATCGAGGTTTTGGTGACATGTCACCAGAGCTCCGGTGGATGGCCATCGACAGGGTCATGGAGGTCGAAGCTCAGGCAGCTAGAAACCAACTAAAGGTATTGTGGTGACAATATTTTTTTTAAAAAAATAGTAAAAGGCATTAAAAATTTCAAAATAATAAAAGGGGTCTGAATTGAGATTTTGAGATTCACGTACATTGATTGTCATTAAACAATTTTTAGGATATTTTATTATTTTTTGAAATTAAAACTTTATATTTAAAATTAAATTAAAATTTAAATTGGCTTCTGTATTTATGACAAGAAAGTAGGTTGAAATAGGTTGGGAGACTAATAATAGGTGTCTTCAATTCTCTTAAGTCATCTTATGATCTCATCCCTTCAGTCAGGAAATTTATCTTTAACCCTTTCGTTTACTGAGGGTTCGTTTGGATCAACGATTAGAAAAGTAGCTTTTGAAAAAGTAAAGCTAAGTAAAAGCTAAATTGGATAAGTTGAATTTTATTTAGATTGGAGTTCAACAAAGCTAGTTTACAAAAGTAAGATTGGTAAAAGGTTGTTTGGATTATGGTTGAGTAAAAATAAGTTTGGTTGTAAAATGACCAAAATGAGTATGAGTTTTAATAAATAATGAAGCATGATTAAAAAAATGATTTCACATAATACAATGAAATTAAAATAATTTAATACGCAAAAGTCATAAAAAGTTATTTTAAATATAAAGTGAAACATGAAAAAATAAAAATATATTTTTAGGATCATATTTAAAAATAAAAGTATATTTCTAACTTATTTATTACTTTCAACTAATTTTAACTGATTTTTTGTTATCTATAAATTAGTTATTTGAGGCTTATAATAAGAACCAAAGGAAATAATAAATTTCTTAACTTTTTCCCTCTCCATGTTTCAAAAATCAAAAGCTATTAATTTTAATTTATAGCTTATTGCAGCTTTTCGTGCAAAAGTCAGATTGTCCAATCGCTCAACCAAACAGCATCAACATTTGCAATCGAGCTTTTCTAGTTTATAAGCTGCTTATTGGCCCTGAAACACTGAGCCAAACAGGCTCTGAATGTGTGAGAACCCCTGCGCAAACAACCACCCAACTTTATGAATACACAACAGTTCTACCTACCCCTCTCATATTAAATTTGAGACTACAATAATCTGACTTTTCTTGCATTTTACTTTAATTTAATTATATTAATTTCTTTTCTAATTTGAAAACATATACTTAACTCTAAATTCTCAATTTCACTAAGAATATTTAAAAAAAGACGCATCTTTAATTAAAATTTATATTAAGATACTTTTTATTTACTAATTTACCCTTCATAACACTAAATTCATAAATTTTGACTAAAAAGTTTTGACGAATTTAAAATTTTTTATTTTTCCTTAATTTTATTTCTTATTTTTTCAAGTAGTTACGACAGATGTATGACATAAAGATAAAGATGCCTTTAATTATTAAAATAGCACAGACACTGATTTAATTTTTCATTTAATGCAGACATAAAAACCTTAAATAAAAATTTGATTAATTCTTTAAATAAATATATAATACATTAAATAAGTTATAAACGTTTCTAACAAAATTGTTATTTCAAAATTTTAAATCATAAATTTAAATGATTTCTATAGTCTCTCAAACTTAGACAATTTATATTATACGATAAAAAATATTTATTTAATATATTTTCTAGCCATTTAAAAAAATTTAAATAAATACATTTCATTATGCAGTGAAAAATTAAAATTATAAAATTTTTTAATATAATCAAAATTAATAAATTTTATTGCATATTAAAAATTTGAAAATAAATGCATTAAAATTTTTTTTATCAAAAATTATTTTTTTGGACAAATATAAATGTTTAAATAACATTTACATTAAGGAGGGGTATTTTGGTCAAAATAGAGTTCTAAAGTCAAATTTAACAATTACCTAGCGGTTGGATGGACAGAAATGAAATCTCAAGTATACAAGGAAGGTTTGTGTAACATGCATTTTAATTTCAAGGGGGTTTATATATATTTTCAGAATAGAAGAGAGGTTTTTGTAATTTAGATAAACTAGACGGGCAGTTAGAGTATTTTACTCTAAATCTAAATCACTTGTAACTAATTCATTATGCCTCAAGGATAAGAAGTTGACTAAAATTTTCTTATAAATCTAGGAATGATAGTTAAATTATTAAATGTATCATAAAATAATAAAATTGTCCTATTTAGTTTTACTCTTAAAGACCGTTGTCATAATAAAGTATTTTTTCAATAAATTTTATTATCTCTTACCTTTCTCTCCTCTTTCACATACATTTAAAACTTTCTCTGGTAATTAATAGGGCTATAAGTGTAAAAATGTCGTTAATTATCCTGACAACTTATGTTTTAGCTATAATTTCTTGCTAGATGAG